CTTCTGCTGTTTTCTCTATCCCTCCTGTAAACCTTATAACCTGGTATGATTAGTTCCCAGTCCTGCAGCCATGTCTCCATAATGGATACTATATCATTGTATCCAGTTTGAATCTTCCTGCAGCTCATGTAACTGGTTCCTTACACTCTGTGATTTGGTATAAAGAACTCTAATTTTGGTTGGACACTGTATTCTGTCATTCAGCATCTTTTTAGTATTTCTCCCTCCGGGCTTACTCTGTTACAGTATTTATAGTCCTGCCTTGTTCATCCTATTAAACCCTACCTTCTCACATCCTGACCTGCTGCCAACCCCCTGCCACAATAGTTTAAACCCTCCTGAATGACACTCAGCAAGCTTCCCTCGAGGATATTTAGTTGCAGCCTGTCCTTTTTGTACAGTGTTCCACCTACCCTGGAAGAAATTCCAATGATCCAGATATCTGAATCCCTCCCTCCTACACCACCTCTTTAACCACGTATTCAGCTGTATTTATGTTCTTATTTCTGGCCTCAATAGCATGTGGCACAGGTAATACTCCCTAGATTACAACCCTAGAGATCCTGCTTTTCAACTTTCTGCCTAATTCCATAAATTTTCTTTTGCAGGACCTCATCTCCATCCTACCTATGTTGTCAGTTCCAGCATTAACCACGATGTGTGGCTATTCACCTTCCTCTTGCAGCATGTCCTGTGCCTGTTCAGAGACATCCTTGACTCTGGCAGCAGGGAGGCAACAAACCATCCTGGAGTCTTGCTTGGGCACAGAAATGTCTGTCTGTGCCCCTGATTACAGGTGGTAGCTGTGCCCAGAGCCTGTTGATAAAATTGTTTTGATTTTTGTCCACTCCCTGCTTCGTTATTTTGTTAGCTGTGCTTAGTTCTGTTGTACGTATTTCTTGCTAACCTCTATCTATATGAAAATGTCTGCAGTGTTTAAAATGTCATAGGTATATTATTTTGTTGACACTGGTTGGCCTTCCTGTCCTATGATCCTGGTGCTTTCATTCTGGGCACTTCTACCTTTTTGTGTGCATCCCCTTTTTTTTTGCTTTTGACAAATGCATTGTTGTTCCACCACCAGTAATCTGGTACACAATTGATAGTGGATTGGTTCAGACTGAATTAACTTTGGTTTGCTGAAGACACACCCTTTATGTATTGGTGGGCAGACGGTGACAGTGACGTAGTAATCATGTTACTGGACTAGTAATGCTTTGGAGTTGTGGATTTAAATCCTATCATAGCAGCTGGTTGTGACATTTGACACAGTCACCTTGGTTTGAGGTTGCCACCATCTGCTCTCTGCTGTCTCTTTCTCCCTCTCTTTTTCTCTCTGCTATTGCACCCAGAGCTCCCACCAAGGTTCATACTCTACCACTCTCACTGTGGCTTGCAATATCTTCCCTCACTTGCTCTCATCCACTCCAACCACCTATATCACTCATGCCGCATGGCCATTGCACTGTCTACTCTTTTTGCTTGGGACAAATCACTACTTTGTCCCCACCTGAACCAACACTAACAAAGAACTAGAGAAAACAGCCCACAAAAGGGTAGAGATGATCCAGTGGTGGGGGAGTTGACATTTGCCTCCTCATTGCCAAGGTGAGGGCCCTAATCCTGACTGCTCCAAGTGGCTAACTGATGACTGTGTCTAAGCCTGTGGACTGGAATATGAGGGTGCCCTGGAGTAACTGCTGGAAACCCCTGATTGAGGGCTGTTTCCCTTAACTTGAGCACTAACAACAACCATAACAAGCTTCCTGGCTTTGTGTCAACACTAAATGGCAAAACAAGACAGAAGTACTGTGACAACAAGGTGCAGAGCTGGATGAACACAGCAGGCCAAGCAGCTGTGAGCTTAGTTGCTCTGGCTGAGGAGGCAAAGCACATACAGGCAAGGTAGGGATGAGCATCCAGATGGTCTCAAAGTAAGTGAGAGCTCAGAGTAATCAAACAGCCATGAGAGCAGCTATTACAATCTGTGAACTGGGTGCCTGTCCCTGTGGATTAAGTACTCTTGCAGCAGCATTGCAGTGATAATTGCAGGTGCATCCTGTGGTGCAGTTTTAAAGTTCAAAGGTATGCTGTAAGTGGATCAGAAATATGCCCTGATGATGTGGAGGGGCTTGCAAGTGATGCCTAGGTCTATGGATATGCAGCCACTACCCTTGAGTATGTTTTGATATGCTGGTATTGGATGTTCAGAATGGGAGAGCTAGAATCACTGGACACCCACTCAAACTTCCATGTCAAGATTTATTGGCTTCACATTTTTTTGTCATGGTGAGTAGTAGGATAAGAGGATGAACATTAATAAGACGAAATCTGATGTTTATTAGGCTGACAACAAGCAAAAAATCTCCCTTTTAATAGGCAGCTCATCACTCCCTAACAAGAATCTTGTTTTGACATCTGGAACTCTGTAGAAAATGTAGGTATTTGCTCCTACTTGACTTCTCACGTGATTCTCTGAGATTTCTTGCCATACCCCATATCATTCAGGTACCTATCAGATTCTGTCCAAAAAGACACTTGAAATGAATGGCTTGGGAGGGGGAGTTGACAAACCAGTCATACTTGGTGAAGATAAAATCCTTGGTTTGGATATCATCTGTAAACAGAGATATCATATTTATGGATAGAAATTTAGAAAAGAAAATAATGCCAGAGGAATAGTAATATTATTTCTGTAATAAAAAGGGATATGATACAAGTTTAGGAATCTATAGAACAGTACGTTTCATGCCAACTGAAGGCATGATAATGGATTTTTTTCTCAAAGCTGTAATGTAAAAATATGTAGAAACAAAAGTGCAACATCACAGATTTCAAAAGGTCATGCTTGACCAACCTTATTGAACTATTTGAAGGAATAAAGTGTAGACAAGCGTAACACAATAGATGTAATAATTTTGTGTTTTCATGTCTTTTGATAAATTCAGAACATATGCAGTCAGGGAACAGGTATCATAAAAGATAGCAAGCTGGCTACAAAACATTAACTGTAGAAGGACTGTTACTCAGAATGACAATAGGTGGGAAGTGGTGTTGCCTGGGGATTGGTGTCAAGACCACTGTTATTCACAATTAATTATTTGGACTCCTGATTTGGGAGTTTTTTTCAGACGTGCAGATGACACCAAAGTTTGGATAGGGTTGGTGGTGGAGTGGGGGAGGAGGCAGTGACATTTATATAAGGGATGAATGCAACAAATTACAAGCATAGATTTAAGAATTAAGTAAATAAAATAAGTGTGAATTGGTGCATTTTGGTCAGAAGAGTCACAGAGTCATACAGCACGGAAACATCAGTCTAACTCGTCCATGCCGACCATACAGCTGACCTAGTCCCATTTGGCCCATATCCCTTTAAACACTTCCTATTCTTATGTTTTAAATGTTGTAATTGTACCCGCTTCCACCACTTCCTCTGGCAGCTTGTTCCATACACACACCACCCTCTACCCCTCAGGTCCTCAAATCTTTCACCTTAAACCTATGCACTCTAGTTTTGGACTCCCCTACTCTAGAAAAAACACCTTGGTTACTCACCCTATCCATGCCTATTATGATTTCATAAACCTCTATAACGTCACCCCACAGTTTCCAACGCACAAGAGAAAACAGCCCCAGCCTATTCGGCCTCTCCCTATGACTGAAACCTTCCAGTGCCAGCAGAATCCTTGTAAATCTTCTCTGCACCATCTGAAGTTTAACAGCATGCCTTCTTATAGAAGGGTGACCTGAATTGTACGCTGTATTCCAAAAGTTGCCTCACCAATGTCCTGTAAAGCTGCAACGTGACACCCTAACTCCTATACTCAATGCACTGAACAATGAAGGTAAGTGTGCCAAATGCCTTCTTCACCACCCTGCCTTCCTGCAGCTCCATTTTGAACAAACTGTGCACCTGCACCCCTAGGTCTCCTTGTTCAGCAATACTCCCTAGGACCCTACCATTAACTGTTTAAGTCCTGCCCTGGTTTGCCTTACCAGAATGCAAAACCTTACATTTATCTAAATTAAACTCCACCTGCCACTCCTTAGCCCATTGGCCTGTGTGATTGTGGTCCCGTTGTACTCCGAGATAATCTTGACAGTCAACTACACCACCTATTTTGGAGTCATCTGCAAACTTAGTAAATGTGCCTGCTATATTCACATCCACATTGTTTACATAAATGACAAAAAGCAGTGGACCCAGCATTGATCCTTGTGAGAAACAACCCCCCCACCACCATCCTCTGTCTCCTGCCTTCAAATCAATTTTGTATCCAATTGGCTAGCTCCCCCGGATCCCATGTGATCTAACCTGACTAACCAGTCTATCCTTAAGAGACTTTGCTTGGATGAGACAAGAGCCAAAGGGGTTTTGGAGTTCAGCTGCACAAATCTGTAGACAAATAAGGTAGATAAATCATGACGTTTTATAGAACCTTTGTTCAGGCACACTTGGAAGTATTGTGCACAGTTGTAATTTCCATATTACAAACTCTTAAAGCATTGGAGATGGTTTAAAAAGATAATAGCCAAACTGAAGAACTGATCAAAAATAAGCTAACAGGGTAGGGAACATACATCTCATTTACAATATCCAGCATGACAGGAATTGAATGTACTTGAATTTATGGGAAAATCCCACCCTCCCATTTTGTTTGAAAAGTCATTATGAGTACTTGCAGCAACTTTGGAGCTTATTAAATGTATGAATACATGTTAATATTTGGAATTTGTGTGTGTGGTCATATTTGTGTTATAAATGTGCCTTGGGAGAGGACGAGTTGGGGTATAAACTAGCATAGGCAATTAGGAAAGAAATAAACTGGCATAATGAGACACATTGAAGAACAGTTACTGAGATCTGTGCCAACAGGGCATGTTCATCAGCCATAGGTCATTTTTTGATGTTGGTTTTAAGTTGTCAAATATTGGCTGGTGTGTCACTTATGTAAATTATGAAATAAATTTTTTTGCATTTTTTTTCTCTCTAACAGACTGTTGGGAAAGGTTCACTGTGGTGTGTAGACCCACAGTACAGGCCAAACCTCATTCAGGCCCTAATGAAGACTCCATATTATTCAACAACACAAGTCTTCTACACACCTCCTGCCTCGCCTCCAAGGTAAGCACATTGTTCCCATTAGCTTTCTTGTAATTCTTCACAGGAAAATTCATGATCTGTCTCCTATTGAGAATAATACTTTTATTTTAAAATGCAGCTTTTGTTATTTCCCATTAGTTCTGTTGATAAGGCGACTCCAAGTGTGTAAGCGAGTTTTATATATGTTAAGAAGATCCTGAGTTGAATGTCTGCTGAAATGCATATGTCTGGACTGTCCAGAAATTGCCAGCTGTTTTGTTTCGAGTTAGTATATCTCATTTGGTGTGGTGGTTTAAGAACATGCAAAATTGGAACAGTCATACAACCCCTCAAGTTCGCTCTGCTATTCATGGCGAATCTTCATCGGGAACTTCACCTTCCCACCCACTTCCTGTATCCCTTGATTCCATGAGAGACCAAACATGTATTTAAGCCGTAATTATAATCAACAATGGAGTATCATAACCCACTGGGGACAGAATTCCAAATATCCACAACCCATAGCCTGAAGATGCTTGTCCTCATTTCAGTCCTAAATGAACCACCCCTTTTCCTGAAGGTGTGCTCCAATGTCCCAGATTCCTTGGTCAGAGGAAAAAAGCTTCTTTAGAAATTTTTAGCTTTCAATGAAAGCACCTCATTCTTGTACATTCCAGAGAGTATAGACTTCATGTAGTCATCCTGTCATCATAGGATAGCCCTCTCATTCCAAGAAGCAATCAGGTAAAACTTTAATATACCATTTCCAATGCAAGTATATCTTTCTTAAACATAGAAACCTAATGTGTACTCAATATTCCAGGTAGAGTTTCACCCACACTTTGGTACAATTATGAAAAAAACCTTATTTGTGCACTCCAGATCCCTTGAAATAAAGGCCAACAAGCTATTTGCCATCTAAATTGCATGTTAAATTCCTGTATAACTTCCTTCTATGAGCACACTTAAGACTCTTAGATAGGGAAATGCCATTTTAGCGTTCATTTTGAGAAGTATAGAATACAAGCAGGGATGTACTGCTGAGGCTGTATCAGGCTCTGATCAGCTGCATTTGGAATATTGTGAGCAGTATTGGCCCCTGTATCTGAGGATGGATGTTCTATCCTTGGAGGAGGTCCAGAGAAGGTTCACTGGAGTGATCACAGGAATGAAGTGCTTGTCATACAGAGACCTTAACCGCTCCTATGTCTGTACTCGATGGAGTTTAGGAAGATGAGGGGTGGAGCTGTTCCACACTATGAGCTTTTATTTTCCGCAATAACCTTTGATGCGGTACCGTATCAAATACCTTCTGGAAATCTAAGCACAATACGTCCACTAGTTACGGAAGAGGAAGTGCTGGAGGCCTTAGAAAACATAAAGGTGGATGAATCTTTGAGACCTTATCAAGTCTACCCAGGATGTTATGGAATGCTAGGGAAGAAATTGCGGGGCCCCTAGCAGAAATATTTTACAATTTGTAACCACAGCTGAGGTGCTAGAGGACTGGAGGGTGGCTAATGTTGTGCCCTTATTTAAGAAAGACTGTAAGGAGAACCCTGGGAACTATAGATCTATGAGCCTGACATCGGTAGTGGGTAAGTTGTTGGACGTGATTCTGAAAGATGGGGGTTTGTATGCATTTGGAGAGGCAACAACTGATAAGAGATAGTCAGCATGGTTTTGTGCGAGGGCAGTAATCAAAAAGACTGTTGAGGGCAGAGTGGTAGACATATGGACTTCAGTAAAGCCTTTGACAAGGTTCTGCATGGTAGACTAATTAGTAGAGTTAGATCCCATGGGGTTCAGGGAGGGTGTGTCAGTTGCATACAAAATTGGCTTGATCGGAGGAGACAGAGGGTGGTGGTGGGGCCATTTCTGAAGAAGGGTCCCAACTCAATGTCAGCTTTCCTGCTCCTCTGATGCTGCCTGGTCTGCTGTGTTCCTCCAGCTCCACACTGTGTTATCTCTGACTCCAGCATCAGCAGTTCTTACTATCTCTCGGCCTGTGACCAGCAGTGTTCCACAGGGATTGGTACTGGGTCCACTTTTGTTTGCCATTTATATAAACGATTTGGATGAGAATATAGAAGGCATGAAGTGAGTGGAGGTAGATATAGGGGAGACGTCAGAGATAGGCTGTTTACTCAGAGTGGTCGGGGTGTAGAATGCGTTGCCGGAGAGGATAGTGGAGTCTGCCTCATTAGGGGCATTTAAGCGGCTATTAGATAGGCATTTGGATGATAGTATAAGATAGGGGTGGAGGTTAGATAGACCTTAGGATTAGGGTAAAAGTTCGGCACAACATCGATGTTCTGTGTTCTATGGTTAGTAAGTTTGCAGATGACACCAAAATTGGTGGTATAGAGGGCAGTGAAGAAGGTTATCGAAGATTACGAAGAGATCTTGATGAATTGGGTCAATGGGCTGAGGAATGACAGATGGAGTTTAATTTGGATAAATGCAATGTATTGCATTTTGGTAAAACAAACAAGGGCAGGGTCCTAGAACCGAGGGACCTAGAGGTTCAGGTACATAATTCTTCGAAATTTGCAGGTTGACAGGATGGTTAAGAAGGTGGTTAGTATGCTTGCCTTCATTGCATACAGGAGTTGGGACATCTTGTTGAGGTTGAATAGAATGTTGGCAAGGGCTCATCTGGACTACAGTTCTGGTTGACCTGCTGTAGGACGGGTAGCATTAAATTGGAGATGATTCAGAAAAGATTTACCAGGATTTTGCTGTGAATTGATGGTTTGAGTTATAAGGAGAGGCTGTATAGGCTGGGATTTTTCTCGCTTGAGCATAGGAGGTTGAGGAGTGACCTTATAGGGGTTTATAAGATCGTAAAGGACACAGATAAGATCAGTAGCATGGGTCTTTTTTCTAGGGTGAGGCGGTTCAAAACTGGGGGTCTTATTTTTAAGGTGAGAGGGGAAAGTTTTAAAAAGGACATGAGGGGCAACTTTTTTACACAGTGTGATTCGTGTGTGGAATAAACTACCAGAGGAAGTGGTGGATGCAGGTACAGAACAACATTTAAAAGGCATTTAGATAAGTACATGAATAGGAAAGGTTTGGAGGGATATGGGCCAAACCCAGATAAGTGAGACTAGTTTAGTTTGGGAACATGGCATGGACTAGTTGAACTGAAGGATCAGTTTCCATGCTGTGTGACTTTTTTTTAGTCTAGCTCCCCTTCATCTATAGCATAAGTTACTTCTTCAAAGAACTCCAATAATTTAAATTTAATTTCTCTTTGACAAAACCAAGCTGGCTCTGCCTGATCATCTTGAACTTATTCAAGTGCCTTGTTTTAAAGTATTTAATAATAACTTCCAACATTTTGTTTATGACAGATATTAAACCAACTGGTCTGTAGTTTCCTGCTTTGTGCTGTCCTCCCTTTTTAGATAAAGGAGTTATATTAGCTATTTTCCAATGTAAAGGAATCCCTGAATCCAATGAGGTTTGGAAAATTAAAACTGACATGTCAACAGTTGCACTGGTTACGTCCTTTAAGACCCTGGGATGTAATCCGTAGAACCTAGTGACTTGTCAGCTCACAGTTCCACCAGTTACTCAGTACTACTTAACTGGTAATAGTATTTTCTTGAAATCTTCTCCCCTTTTCCATTCCTTATTTACAGATATTTCCTGGGTGCTATTCATATCCTCTAGTGAAGATGAATGCAAAATATCTGCTCCGATATCCATTTTAAGCCCACCAACTCCCACAGCTACCTAGAATACACCACCTCCCACCCACCTTCCTGCAAAAATGCCATCCCCTATTCCCAATTCCTTCGCCTCCGCCGCATCTGCTCCCAGGATGAGGCATTCCACTCCCGAACATCTCAGATGTCCTCGTTTTTCGAGGACCGCAACTTCCCCCCTCCTCAGTGGTCGAGAACGCCCTCGACCGTGTCTCCCGCATTTCCCACAACTCATCCCTCACACCCCCTCCCCGCAATAACAACCAGAACAGAATTCCCCTCGTCCTCATGTACCACCTCACCAACCTCCGGATCCAACGCATCATCCTCCGACGCTTCCGCCATCTGCAGTCCGACCCCACCACCAAAGACATTTTTCCCTTCCCACCCTTATCTGCTTTCCGGAGGGACCACTCTCTCCGTGACTCCCTTGTCCGCTCCACACTCCCCTCCAGCTCCACCACACCCGGCACTTTTCCCTGCAACCGCAGGAAGTGCTACACCTGCCCCCATACCTCCTCCCTCACCCCCATCCCAGGCCCCAAGAAGACTTTCCACATCAAGCAGATGTTCACCTGCACATCTGCTAATGTGGTATACTGTATCCGCTGTTCCCGTTGTGGCCTCCTCTACAGCGGGGAAACCAAGCGGAGGCTTGGGGACCGCTTTGTGGAACGCCTACGCTCGGTTCGCACTAAACAACTGCACCTCCCAGTCGCGAACCATTTCAACTCCCCCTCCCATTCCTCAGACGACATGTCCATCCTGGGCCTCCTGCAGTGCCACAGCAATGCTACCCGAAGGTTGCAGGAACAGCAACTCATATTCCGCTTTGATACCATTGGACTGCAGGGTTCCTATGTGGACTTCACAAGCTTCAAAATCTCCCCTCCCCCTACTGCATCTCAAAATTAGCCCAGCTCGTCCCCGCCTCCCTAACCTGTCCTTCCTCCCACCTATCCCCTCCTCCCACCTCAAGCCCCACCCACATCTCCTACCTACTAACCTCATCCCGCCCCCTTGACCTGTCCATCCTCCCTGGACTGCCCTATCTCCTCCCTACCTCCCCACCTGCACTCCCCTTTACTGGCTCCATCCCCGCCTCTTTGACCGGTCTGTCTCCTTTCCACCTATCTTCTCCTCTATCCATCTTCTATCCACCTCCCCCTCTCTCCCTATTTATTTCAGAACCCCCTTCCCCTCCCCATTTCTGACAAAGGGTCTAGGCCCGAAATGTCAGCCTTCCTGCTCCTCTGATGCTGCTTGGCCTGCTGTGTTCATCCAGCTCTACACCTTGTTATGCTCAATACATAGAATCACTACAGT